AAGAGAGAGAGAGAGAGTGTGTGTGTGAGTGTGGGAGAAGGAGAGCAGGAGGGGCAGAGAGGGAGGAGGCGGGAGCTCTTGCGCACTCTCTCTTACACACGCTTCCTGCTTTACCTCTCCTTCCAACCTTGCAGAGAGGAGAGGGCATGGGGGGGGGGGGGGGGGGCTGAGTCTTCCCAGGGCCCTGCTGTCATCTGATGAACCAGTGCTGAGAAAGCTCAGAGCCTCCATGAAGAAGGAGAGGAGGCCCTGGCCAGTGGGGCTCATCCTGTGCACCAAAGGATTGCCGGTTCGATTCCTGGTCATGGTACATGCCCGGGTTACGGGGCTCGATCCCTGGTAGGGGGCATGTAGTAGGCAGCCGATGTCTCACTCTCACATCTATCTCCCTCTCCCTCTCCCTTCCTCTCTCTAAAAATCAATAAACATACTTTTAAAAAAACATAGGAGTGGAGGAGAGAGCCTCACACTGGTGGTGAGAAGAGCTCTGTGCAGGAGCCAGAGGCACAGCTCCCGGGGCGGCCCACTTTCAATCGTGGGACCTTTGAAGCCACTCCCCCACCCCATTCCACCCCACAAGTGTCCCCAGGGGGTCCTAGCACATTGTAGGCAGAGGCTCACCTCCCTGTCTACCCCCTATGCTTAGCTGATGGAGAGAGGAATACCAGGTGTCTGGTTCGCCCCTAGCCCCGCACTGGCACATGGAGAGGCCTTTAGGAAACACACCACCCCCAGACTCAGCACCACCCCTTCTGCCCTGGTGCAGGCAGGCTCGTTAGTGGCTGTGACTTTTGTATGTGGAGAGGACTGAGGCCTCTCTGGGGCTGCTTCTCTCCCCCTTTCTGCTTCAGTCTCTTGTCTTCTGCTGGCTGGCTTTTTCTCTCAGTCTCTTTCTGCTCCTTTCTCTCCCTCCTTCCCTGCCTCTCTCTCCCTGAGTCATTTGCAAAGCGGAGATGGCCTAGCCCATCTGGGAGCGAGAGCAGGGCTGGTGACGGAGGCGCAGGTAATAGCCGAGTAGAGGAGAGAGACGTGGAAATTTATGACATTGAAAATGACTAAGAGAGAGAGAGAGAGTGTGTGTGTGAGTGTGGGAGAAGGAGAGCAGGAGGGGCAGAGAGGGAGGAGGCGGGAGCTCTTGCGCACTCTCTCTTACACACGCTTCCTGCTTTACCTCTCCTTCCAACCTTGCAGAGAGAAGTGCTGCCAGCACAGAGAGAGAAAGACAGACAGACAGTTGGTAGGACAGAGAGGGCAAAAGAAGGAGAAGAGCAGGTGAGACCAGGAGAGGGAGCAAGGCTGTGAGCCACCGTGGGAGAGATGACCAGTGTCTGGCTGTGGCACCTGCTTGTCTCTGTCCTGGTCTCCACTTCAGCAGCTCTGGTCTGAGGTTAGGGGTGTCCCCATGGCATATGGCAGCATGGAGTCTGGAGTCTAAGCTGGAGTTTTCTAAGGGATGAGGCTCAGAAGGGGCCAGAACATGCTCCAGGCTGTACAGCAGGTCTCCTTCCTCCCAGCATGGCTATTTCCCCACAGATGCTGTGGTGTGGAGAGCCAGGATGTAGATGGACTAGACCTTGTAACCAACAGCAATTCCCTCTGGACCAAGGGAGTCAGGGGAATGGCCAGAATGATCTGCCACATCTTCTTGAAGTCAGAGGAGAATCTGTTTCCATGATGTGTTGGCCCGTAATCCCCTCTGCTCTAGTCACCCCTAGACCACCCATGATGGCATGGCATTGTTGGACACAGAAGAAATTAAACATCCATCAGAGAGCTGTGTGTGCCACCCCTGACCTGGGCCAACCCAGACCCAGTGGACTGCCCTCCGCCCCCCCTCCTCAGCCCCCCTCTGCTACCTTTTGGCTAGAATGCAGCTGAATTCCCTCCCGGGCACTGTCCCTTAACCCAGGGTTCAGGTCTTTGCTCAGAATCCTTCCTTCTCTGGGCCTAAGTTTCCTCATCTTTGAAATGAGGATAGTAACACTTACCTGTGCCCATCTGCCTTGGGCCAGAGAAGCCATGGGGCCCAGGGGGAGCTCTGATCTACCTACATCTGGAAATGGTCTGCCGTTAGAGATGTGAGTCATCTCTACTCCAGAGGAGCTCTCGGCACTCGGGCTGATATGTGGGTGAAGGGAGAGAAATAAGACTCCCAGGCATCCCACAGGCACACACCATCTCCCAAGGAAGCTGATATGTCAGGTACTCAAAGGGCAGAACACATGCCCAGGTCCAGGCAGAGGCTGAGACCTAGAGAAAGGAGAGCCTCCCGGTCACACAGATGGCAAGCTCTGAGTCAGGCCCTGCTAATCCAGACCATATACCAGGCCCCTCTCCCGCCAGATGTGGGCAGAACAGGTGCCTCGGGGTTCTAAGAGGCCTTACCTCCAACCCCAGTAGCTTGGAGCCTGACTCTGAACAGGTGTCCAAGTTTTTCCAACTGTGGAGGTCACTCCCCAGCCCTGCCCCGTCTCCTTGGCAGCCTTCCACGGAGGACCCATGCCCTCCCTCCTCTTCTCCCCCCTCCCCTGCTCTGTAGCCCTCTGCTTGAAAACTTTCTGGGATTAACCCCTTCTAGCCCAGGGCATCTGAAGAGGTGGTAGAGGACATTGGTTGAAGTATAAGCGTTAGGCCCAGAAAAACCCCAAATCACAGCTCTGCCCCTTGGCTGGGTGATGGGCTCTTCACTTAATGTCTCTGAGCCTTATCTCCTCATCTGGCCAATGGCTCCAGGATTTGGGGACGATCACAGGAAATCATGGATGTAAAGTGACTGGCGCGCAGGAGGTGCTTGGCAAATGCCAGCTGGCATCCAGCCGCTGGTACCGCATCTCACTGTGTCCTCGCTTTCTGCTGCACTTAGGGGGCTGAGACTGAGCCCTGAGGGTGGGTAGAGGAAGAAGGACAGTGGCAGCAGCTTCTGGAAGCTCCTGCTCACTTAGAAGAGATGAAGCCAGCCGGAGCTACAGCGGGAGAGACTCAGGTTAGCGCTATGAGGGACTTGCTCTTTGTGAGACCCAGGAGGAAGACGCATTTCACAGGGCCCACCTGGTCCAGTCTGTTCTGAGGCCTCATTCTAGAGGCAGCTCCAAGGCAGCCGTGGCTGCTCTGTCTGGGGAGCAGTGGGGGAGGTGAAGAGTTCACTGGGCCCAGGGCTTCGGGCAGTGGGCCTCCCACCCAGCCCCAGTGCCCTGGTCCAGCCCATCGTGGCCGCATAAAAGGTGACGGATGGTTAATGGCGGAGATAACAGGATTCATAAGGGAAATTTATCGGTCGCTCTGGTGGTATAAATATGTTTATAGCGGACCAAGGGGAAATGAAGAAGCCCCAATAAATCACGACGAAGCCACCAGCCACTAATAGGCAAGCAGCCGCGGGAACCCCAGCATTGGCGCTTGCAGACACCCCCTCTGGCTGCCCGCTAATGGCACGGCAGGATTGCAGACTTGTCAGGCAGGCCGTCCAGCCCACACCATGGTGGGAACAGGACCCCGGGGGCCACTTCCACTGGACCTGAGCTGACCTGCCTGGTCCAGCCTCTCCTTCAGCAGATCTGGGCTCAGTCAGAC